CAGTAGCACCTATCTGACTTCCCCCTCCCCATAGTAAGAAACGGTTACTGCACCTGTGATAGAACAAGACACTGTCACCACAAGTCAGACTCTATATTGGCAGGCATTCCCAAGCCGTGAGTTGCCAGTGAAGAATCGCATGAACAGGAATTCTCCAGCTCCGCTTCTATCTAAATCAGGTCTCAATGGGTAATTCCGATCTGTTAGAGATTATCCTGCTTCAAGATGAGAAGGGTGTCACGAAGCTCAGGTAGTCGAGGTCGCACACTGCCCCATATAAGGGGTCAGATCGATCATCATGCAGTAGTTACTACAAGCACCACCAAGTTCCAGACTTTAACGTTCATTTCTATAACATCTCCCACCCGTAAGAGTATATTTCAGCTATCTGATCAAGAAGGGAGACGTCTGGCAATGCTCTATTGCATGTCAAAAAGTCCACCTGTCGTTAGAGGTACCTTCATAAGGCCAACAGGGAACGTGAGCCCCATTGGCGGTATTGCCATTATCAAGATTGATGCAATGGTTTGGATACGCCTCATTCATGATCAAAGAGGAGCATACATTAGATCAGGGAGACAACTCTGTTGGGAATTGCGAAGATGTACGTGGAGCAGTGAGCAATGTTCCCGTATACCATTTTACAGAAGTACCAACTACCATCGTCAAGCTGTTTGGCACGCCATTTTTGGTTATCCGAGCGACTAGAGTGTTCCCTGGGATATATTTTGCGCTGCCTTGATAAGTGAACCTTGGTTATGTACTCATCTGTATGAGCAATTGGCTTGCGCAAAGGGCCTTCCATAGTCAAGGTCAAGAACTTGGGTACCCAAATTAGTCCTGATAACATCGACAAGATCGTTCAAGATCGTTCTCCGGTTTGGACATCGTTAGAAATAGCTAGATTACTGTGTGTTGAGTACTGTGAATGATTGGGGTGGAATATATATTGAATATTGCGGTGAAGGTAAGAAATACTAATGATGTAGATTGGTGAATTCTACTGATAAATTTCTCTTTATAAGTACCCCGGTGGGGGTGGGCTTCCAGTTGCTGGAGTGTCACTCAACTGACAACCACCTATACGTTTCAATGATGACATTACAACTAATATACGGGACTTAATATACGCATCAGTTATTATAGTCCCAGTAGTTGTTCTGGGTCAGTCATTATATTAATGTTGATGGGAAGTGGTGGAACTGCAACGTCACCAAACCGACTTCTCTCCGTTCCCGATAAAAGCTCGACCAACGAAAGAGGATATATCAAGGTGAAGAGTCATGCTAGAATCCCGGACCAGATGTATGCCACTTATATCTTCAGTTGTCATAAACTGTAGAGGCTCTGAGAAAAATCTTGGCCGAGCTTGGAGCGATCAGATATATACATATGTATATCATATAATGGTCTCCCTTATTCTGGACATCTTCCACAGGAGAACGAACTAGTTCAATGGCCCTAGCCTAGAAACCAACGTGGGATCCCACAATTTGGAACGCACAGTCTATATATATTTGTTCAGCTCTGAATGCTATTTCTGGCACCATAGCTGTCTGTGCATCAGCCGCTTTTCACCAATGGAGCGGGGGTGAAGTGTTTGTCCTACTGTAGCCTCACGCACCCTGCCTGCTGATAAAAACCTGTTCATCTTCTTCTGTTTGACACTGGAGATGTGTTGACTGCAGAGGGTCATATATACTGCAAAAATCATCATCCTGAATACTCAGAACAACGGTGTTGCACTTGATATCACCGATTCTGAGGTGTTTTCGAGGACACTAGAGTGTCTTCTATGACTCCGGAGTGCACGCTTTGCTGAATCGTTAAACCTCAGTGACTTGGTGCCGAGACTCAACGAGTGAAAACTTGTCTACCTTCATTAACAGAATCACAGCCTAGCATAGGTGGCAAATAAACTGCTTCCTCGATCGAGTCAGCAAGCATACCTGATTCGGATTTAACAAAAGACTGGCGACTCCCAACTTGGTCTTCTGACGCAACCCATTCTCCAGGTCGTTTACCAACCCAAGTCCACCATGTCTGCACCGGCACCTGATCGTCAGGATCAAGCTGAGTTGGCTCTGAGACTGCGAAATACCATGGTTGCATCGGCATCCATTCCACAGGACCAAGTTGAGCTGCCTTTGCGACCGCGAAACACCACGATTGCTGCATCGGCGCCCAACAGTCAGGACGAACCTGAGCTGGCTCTAGGGCAGCTTCCTCTTACATTCGCGATAGATGTCTCGCAAAGCACGTTGGGACCTGTGCTTCGGAAAGAGCAGGATGCTATTCGGGAAATCTGTGGAGATTCTATGCCGCCGGACTTGGTGTCACGGTCAAGTATTCTTCCTTGGTGTCACACGGCCTTCCAACCGATGAAAATAGCAGACATCGAGAATCTCAGCTCCTGGGGCCGAACCGATCCAGGGGCTTTGTTGAACAGCCCCGCTTGCAAATCAAAACTTCAGGACGCCAGCATATGGTTTCTTTTGACCGACGGCCAAATCACCGAGCCACTAGTTCAGAAGTTTGCCCATGCTATCTCCGCCGCTGGTATTCAGGGCACAGCCTGCGTGATAATTCTATTTGGATATCCGGAAAGTTCACCATTTCGCTGCAATATCTCAGTTGGGATGTCTGTGTTTGCAGTGGCTCCACATTGCATCTTTCTCTTCTCAGATGTGAGAACTGGCATATTGTACGTGCTACAAGCCAAGGGAAATTTCTCGAATATTCTCCCGGCAGAGAAGCAGTTTGTGCCCTTTGGGGAGAGGACGGAATGGGCGGATCTGGTGACAATCAGATACGACGATCTCAAAAGAGTCAAGGTCCCTAGACCCATCAAAATGTCCCGGGATATCGTCATACTCCCAAACGGAGTCCATTTTGACATGAACAGTATTTATACTGGCTTGATATCTGAGACTGACACACTTCACCTGCTATCGAACTACGCCGCTTTAGATCGCGTCATCCTGGCCGCGAAGACACAGGGTCAAATTGACAAGATTCAAAGTTGGATTTCGAATTCCCGTCGGACTATGGATTCGATGGATAAGATTCTGCTTGGGGCCCGTGAAGACTTAGGTGGGGAAGCAAAAAGGGTACTCCTCAGCCTTCTGACCTTTCTAGGCGGAGATGGATCACGACCACAGTCTCTGTGGCAAGCAATTCTTAAGTCAAATCAGTCCTCAACTGCAGAGTTCATCAAGTCAGAACTCCGTAAGCAGCATCAAAGGAACTGGGAGAATTTTAAACAGCATGTCAGAGCAGCTCATGATCATTCTTATCGGTTGAAGATGACCTTTGAGGATGTCTCGAGAAGATCAAGCGGATCAACTCGACGCCAGTCTTCAATGTCCCCAAGCGATCTAACCCCAATGAGTTCGCCAGATGCAGGAAATATGCAATATATGGGAACCGCACGTTCGTTTCAACAGAGAATCAGCCCACTTGCAAATCTTTCCAGGCCTCCAGCTGATGGACCAATAGACTGCGAATATCTATTTTTACCAGGATATAGAGACAGCAGAAACGTCGCTGCAGGATGTGCAGTTCCCCAGAACTACCAACAGTGCCCTATATGTGGGACTGATCAGGCGATACAGTGTCTTCTCCTCCAAACCCCACGCGACTACAATGGCACACACCATGTTCCACAGGTCAATAGCTGTGCCGAACACCGCTATCCAATGGTCTTGGGTAGTTACCCCGAGACGGATATAATATTGCCTCTGTCAGCGTGTGATGCTTGCGCTTGGATACTGCTCCAGGTTAGAGAACTGCCCAATGGTCAGCGAGTTGATGCTGCACTGCCGCTGGTCTCTCTCACCAAGGAGGCAAACCGACGGCAATGGGTTCGAACACTTGACCGAATTTACGAACGCCGCTTTCATGAGAGCATCATTCTCTACGTCTTTCTCTCTTCCGTTTGCTTTAAGATGGAAGACATATCTAAAAATAGGGAGATCGCCTCTAGCCTAATGGAGTATCTTAAGTGGTGCTCCAGAGCAATAAGCCAACTTCCTGGCGAGCCTTGGAAGGCTGGTCTTTTACCGGCCCCAGAATCGACCCCGACTGCCAACCATAGATTACTGACGTTACAAAGAGTTTTTAGAACAGCTTTCCCTCATTATCACACCACCAGTCGGCTTGAAAGCTTCCTACATTACCCCATTGAGGGGTCCGTCGTTTTTGTCCGCATCGCCAGTCAGATGGAGACCATAGCTCCACACATGATTGAGCTCTACGTGTGGAAGCGGTTGCTTTACCAGATAGCCGAGCATTACGCAGCGTTGCGCAGAGAGGAAGGGCCGGAAGAGGCTGATATACGCCTCAGAGCCACACTCGGTGAGTCATTCCCTTTCACCCCTGGATGGGAGATGGCAGTCAATACTGACTTATTAGTAGAACAGCTTCCATCACCTTACTCAGTTTCCGTGGCCCAGCTGGGTAGCCATCTCCCATCACTTGATCAGTTCAGACGCCTGGATAATTACTTTGCGCCCATTGAGACCACGACCAAGTACAATGCTGCTCTGGCTGTCTTCCTGCACATCATGCGGAAAGTCTCCATTCTACTCCAGCATAACCACCCTGAAGTGGGATTATTTATCAAATACATAGAGGACTATGGGCTCCAGGTACAGCAGGCAGACAACCAATTCTGCAATGTATTCAATGAACCAACGCTGGTTGGAGGTGGTGACGTTGAGAAGATGGTCAAGGATGTCTATGAGTTGCACTGAGGGGAATGGATAGGGTATGCCTTTGCTTTTTGGATCACTACAAGGATATCATGGTAGTATGCATATCATCCTTGAGTCTATTGAAACCTACATTCTAGTGAACCTCGTAGCTGCACTTGCACACTGTTACTTCCTATGAATCGACCGCCATAAAGCGAAGGAGAGGAGATGTCCATATCTATTCCCAACCACCTAACTAAACCAAACCCCCAATATCATACATACACCACTAAATAAGAACAAAACTCATGCCCATAACTCCCCAAACCCAACATACAAATCCCTCTTCCCAACCTCCACGCCCTCCATCCTCACAATCGCATACGCAATATTCAAATGGAAGTAAATATTCGGTAGGACCATGGTATGCGCATACGTCGCATTCGTCACATCGATCTCGACCCCGGGTCCCGCGGGCGCAGGCTTGACCGTTTCGGCATTGGCATTCACCACATCGGTATCCGCATCTTTCAGAAGTTCCAGCACTTTGTCGATGCGCTCGTAGCACTCCGCGAAGGATTGCGGGTTACCCTCTGGTAGCAGCGTCGTGGGGAGAGTTTCTGCCTCAGGGTGGTTGGTGAGACGGGCGTAGAGACGGGCGGAGTTGGACGTCACGAGGCGGATTTGGTCGGTGAGGGGGTACATGGTTGGATGGAGGCGGGAGTTGAGAAGTAGGGAGGATGGGTTGGGGTGGGTGCGTTCGGCGGTGCGGAGGAGGTGGAGGAGGGTTTTGAGGATGCTGGTGAGGATGGGGAGGGTGGTGGCGTAGAGGGTTGAGGTTTGTTTTGGGGGGGACATTTTGGATGGTTCAATTATGCTTTCTTGTTGTAGAATTGGATATGATGGATGATTGATTGATTTATTGATTGTGGTTGGGAGTGGTTGTAGTTGACTGTATTTATGTAGTCTGGTGAGTGAGTGAGTGAGTCACTGTGATGGATGGATACAGGATGCTTATGTAGTGGATGGTGGAACTACTAGTGTCGTGATTAAAATCCAACATCAGACAAAGTGGATATAGTCTCGTATTTTAGTGTTTCATAGCCACAGTTCTCCGAGATGGTTGTTGTGTTTGTCGCAGGAATCAATTGTCTGTTGATGCTATTTCAACTTGGTTACTACATCATGCCTATGGCTATACGCATTACGAGATGGATGGTAGTTAGAGAGAAGAAGGTATATCGGAGCTTTCTGCAAGATTATTATATCTGTTCAAATAATATCCCGACCAGCGGGACACTGACAATGCACTATACTCAAGTCTGCTGAAGATACAGCCCTACGACACCCACTGGGGACACACCCGCTTCACAAAGTTCATAAACTTGAAGAAGCCGACCGCATGCTCGACGTTGCCATACGGATCGACCACCCGCTCCGGGAAAGCGATGCCCGCCCCATACAGACCCCGGACAACGCGGCCGTTGGAGTCGCGGAAGCCTCCCGAAACCGGGTCGAACTCGGGCTCCAATGAGGAGCCGTTGATTGACAGCTCTGGCAGCGGGTCCCGCGTGAAGCCGACGGCCTGTACCAGGTACGAGCACGAGGGCAGATGCCGCTCATACTGTGCTTGCTCCTGGTTATCGCCGCAGTAGACCTTGGTGATGAACCGGCCAGCCTCGGAATGTGGCAGCTTGTCATCCTCCAGTTGCTGACGGGCAAAGTCGGCAGCAGACCCCTTGAGTCCGGTGTTGTCCCGGAGGATCCAGCCGTCCATGAATTCGGCATACCGCAGGGAATGCCGCGTGAACCACTTGATACGGAGCTCGGGATGGGATGTGCGAGCCAAGTCTACCAGGTTGAGGAGGGCTAGGATGGCGCTATGCGACGCTCCTACTACAGCGACGGTCAAGGGCTTGTCTCGGGGAAGATGCGACACCAGGTCGCTGGGCTTCAGTACGAGATCCAGGTCCAGCCTTTCGATGTGGTGCCCGGGAATAGATATAGAGACCTCGGTTGGGGAAGACCCTGTGCACACGACGAGTCGAGGCGTCAGCACCTCGACTTCATCCTGTGAGTCCTGCAACCGGATGCGAACGGTCCAGGTAGCAGTCTATGTCGACGGTCAAATGTTAGCTATGCGGGATGCTAATTGGCTCCTAGAGCTCTATAACTGACTTTCTCGGCCAGGTTGGCAGCTGTGACAACTCCTCGACACGGCAGAACCCGTTCCATCTTTGTGATACCATCGGTAAGAGCACGAACCACATCAATAGCATGATGCAAATGACAGGTTTTATTTTGGTCGAGTTTGGCCATCGTCGTGAATGGGTTGGGGATACGAGTGTTTTCGATTACAGTGCGGAAAGGTTGAACGGCCGTAGCGTACGCCTGAAAATAGCACACCTTGGTATTGCTGATTGAGCCAACAGAACCAGTCAGCAGGAGTGTTCCTCTTCTGGCACCCTGAAGCTCGTTCTGACGACCAGACCGAGGATTTGCTCACCTAGGAACCTCGCGGTATCTCTGGTTTATCCGGCCACCTTGGAATAACGGGTCAACCCAGGCAATCTTCCCTCCAAGTTGCTTCTCCAGGAGATTTCCCACAACCGCCAGACCGGCTGGGCCGGCTCCCACAACGACAGCAGCACATTTCTGGGGTTGAGCCATCCTCAAAATGCTCATATAGATGGGGTGGAGGAAATAATAGCAGAAAGTCGGGATATCACAAATTCACAGGGCTGAAAAAGGGTGGTTGTGACAATCGAAGCGTGATCTCAAAAGAGCGGGAGAGGCATTTATGGGGATGGGAGTCAGAACGCCAGGGGAGCTGGGTCGTATTGCCGGCGTAATTCTCGGCGAAACAGGCGAACGAGAATCAAGGCCATGTTTTGGCGGGAGAGGGGAAGCCACGAACACAACACCATGAATGACCGCTGAGAATGGGATAGCCGAGTACCCCGATGGCCTAGATAGGATAGGCAGATGGGAAGATAGCCGATCAGCCCGTCAATCCGCTACAAATTCGAGTCACGGCGCAGGAAAACTGCGCAGAAACAAAGTCTCTCGGGCGAGATAACGCATGATGCCTCCGCCACGGCCGGTCAGGCGGTGATAACCGCACTGCTCACTGGTCACACTGAGTGTATCACCGCTTCTCGCACGACTGACCGGTTGTTGCGCAATCCAATGTGGCCAGCCCCACCCGGATTCGCTCCTGGAACATCCTGGGCCGCTTTCCGTCGGCAGTCACATTCTGTCGTCTTGGCTGGGAATGAAGGAGGGCCGCAAGGCGTAGAGGAGTCGGGGGGAAGGTCACCGTCAAGTAGGGAGCAACATTGAGCTTCTGTCTGGTTAATTGACGGGACTGTGTCTTCCAGTTTGGTCCAAAGAGGGAAGACAAAACCAGCGTTGCTGGTGATGGAGGAAGAGAGCGACCTTATATTCAAATGCGCAGATGACGGGATTGGGTGGTCTTGGCGCAATTGCGTGATCGCCTTGGGGAATGAGGTGATGCTCTCTCCGGCCTGATTTGGCAGGCTACCATCTATACTACCCAGATAGTATACCCAGTCTATCGATAGCCGATAAGGATGTATAGTTAGTTACAGCTGCTTAGTAAATAATCCCCATCGATAACTAATTAGTTCATAACTACATATCTGCTTACTGCTATTCAAAGATTTACTTGTTTCTAAGCTCATGTGCACTCTAAAGATGCTGCTGACTTAGGATCCCCGCATTAGACCGCCCAAAACACCCGCACTGACACTCGCTGCACATGGTTCGACCACCCTCCAAACCGTGCCCGACCCCAGACAGCAATCGCATCTCCAATCTCCAGACTGCGGACTTGGCTTCCATCCAGCGTGGCTCGTCCTCGTCCCTGAGTTCGTTCTATTTCCTCCGCTTCAGTCGAGTCCGGAGCGATATCATCCTGGTAGTGCCAAACAATAGTATGCTTTTGCGAACCTGGCACGGCCGTCTTATTCGACTGTAGCTTATGAGCCGTTGGCAGCAAGTTAGGATGGTCGGGCCCAAAATGGAATGGACCCTGTGGTGGAGGCTGATTATTTGCATCTCGCTTCTGATGTGCTGAGTGAATGACTTCGGTATCAAACCACGAATAAGAGCCCCCGTATTGACCGCGAGATCCTAGGCCGCCACCCCATCCCTGATCGTGAGATTCAATAGTAAAGATGATCTGGCGGCATGGATGAGTGGTCCGATGGGGCAAAGGCTTTGGAGACGGAGTATTCAAGGTCTAGTGGTTTGAACACGGTGTCAGCAGCAATAACCCGATGAAAAAGTCTCCGGTTGGAGTGAGACGCATGCAAAATGCCACAGTAGGCCAAAACTTCCAACTTACCTGCACATCATAGCACAGAGGTACCGTCGTTAGAATAGTCTGATCCTGATCTTTCCTGATAACAGTCTCTCCTTCCAGGACGGACTCAGAAGAAGCCCAATACTCGGCTGCGTCCACAATCATATCTACAATTTCAGCTGGCAGCAACTCTTGCGAGTTCCTCGTCCATTGCCAAATATGCTGTAGCAGATACCGAACCTTCAAAACATCGAAACAACTGGGATAATATGTGTCAACTTCCGGGGAAGAGTCCTTGTTGTCCTCGTCTGGTGGGGTGCTTGTATCGTTGTTGTTAGGGGGCCGGTTTGGTCGTCGCCTCATAGCAAGCCGATTAACTAGAGGCAACATCATTATATTTGTAGCCTGCGTGCTACTTGAAAGGCCTCCTTAAGTTTGCACCGACACAAACCTAACGTTGACTCATGCGAAACGACAAACTCAGAAACGGTCGTAGTTCGGTATCGAATCTAATTGTTGCCTTGACGAAATTAGCCAACGGGCCAACATAAGACAGCTACAAAATGAAGAGAATTGCTCACTCAAGACAAGCTCATCTCAATGGTTGGGCTCAGGCACCAGTCTGACTCAAGTGATGTCGGTCAACTTAGTGTAACCGTTTCGATCTCACCCCGCCTTCCGGGCAGAATGATAGAGGGGGAGGAGAGATACAGTAGGCACCACACGTGATGGTTAAAATATGGAACGAAAAGACTATCAATGATTTGACTAAGACTAGCATTCAGAGGAATATGTTACATGCCGGTTTATAAGAGAAGAGCGCTGCATATGTGAAGGGCGATAGCAGTGATTGATATCGCCAGGAGAAAGGCGGCGCAATCGATAGGTGACGTCATGGGCGTGTTCCTGAAAGGGCCAAAGTTACACATCGCGTACAGCAGAACAGGCACAATACAGACAGTTCACAACCGATGAATTGGCATGCAACAGATGGATATCTACTTAACAAGTCTCGTATCAATTGGCTTTTTGACATGCAAAATACACCCGTGAAATAGAATACAGATAAAAAAAAAACGCCAGCAAGCTCACATCCCAGTCCATTAATCGGTCTTCCCCTTCTTCCACCCACCAGCGGCTTTGTAGGCCGCAGCACGCTTGCTGCTCCGGTTGTTCGGCTTGCCCTTGGAGCCACGGCTCTTCGTCTTGACCCGAATGTGCGAACCTTCAGTGGCCCGATGGCCTTCGAACACCAAGGAGTTCTGCGAGATGGACTTTTGCGCATCCGCCTTCACCTTGGCTGCACCGGCCCGGCCAAAGAGTCTACCGGCGCGACCTTGCAAGGTCTTGTCTGCCTCACCAAGCGTCTTCTTCTGGCCACCGCCGTCTGAACGCTTCTTCAGAATCTTCTTGGCCCGGGACACGCGGAGCTTGCGGGGAAGCATAGGCGGGTAATGCTTTCCATTGAGTACAAGAGCCTCCTCGACACAGTTTTGATCATAGAATTGAACGTAGGCAAATCCTTTGCCGACACGAGTGAGGCTGTCGCGAACCACACGGACTGATTCAACATTTCCATTCTTGGGCTTCTCCTTATTCGAACGACCGGTGTGAGCGTTGAAGGTCCGCCAGAGACCTTCTTCAACATCTGCGGGGGCTCGCTTTTTCTTCTTCTGCTCATCGTCGGGCTTGACCTCGTTGTCGACAAAGTCCAGGTTACCAACGAAAACACACCGTTTGTGGTCGATCGGGGCAGGATGCGCGACACTGTCAACACGCAAATGCCGGTCCAGTATCACGGTACCGTTGAGCGCAGCGGGCGCCTTGCGCGCGGCTTGCACAGTGCTGTAGACGGCATATGCGTTGGTGCACGGCGTCGTATCATCCAGTACTTCTTGCTTGGCAAAAGAGGCTCGCTTGGGGACTCCGCCACCACTGGAAAATGCCGTGGAGCGGAAGCGAATAGATTCCACCTTGTGAGGTCCAGTAGACTCCGGAAGCGTAGAGAGGAAAGATGCCAGGTGTTTGAGGAGGGTCTTTTTAGCTGACTTGGACTTGATCGCCTCACTCGAGACATTGCCCAAGAACACGGTCCGGTTGGACTTGTCCAATTCCTTCGACTCGGCATCACCAGTCTGGCTCTCGTGTTTCGGGACGGCCTTCTTTTCCTCCTCCTCTTCAGAACTCTCCTCCTCCTCCTCCTCCTCCTCCTCCTCCTCCTCCTCCTCATCTTCTTCCTCAGATTTTTCGGCATCCTCTCCTTGCTCACCCTCTACCGTCTTCTGTCGCTTCGCCTTCTCTTCCCGTCTCTTCTCATCCTCCTTCTTCTGCTCCTTCGCGATGCGACGCATGTATGAGTCTTCGACATCTTCTGCAGTGGTCCTCTTGCGCTTGCGGCTGGGCGCCTCGGCGGCTACCTCAGCCTTTTCGCTGCCCTCATCGCTCGATGCTTCCGGGGCTTCCTGCATCTCCTCGTCCTCGGGCAGAGATTCGTCTTCCAATTCGGAGAGCACATCTTCGCCATCTTCATCCTCGTCATTTTCGGCAGTACGCTTGCTTGATTGGGGAGCGGGAGCGGCGATTGTGACGGAAGGAGCTTTTACTGGGCCAGCCTAAATATGCCCCATGGGGCCATGTTAGTTTAAGATACACTGGCGAAGCAGAAGGTGTGTGTTACGCACACTTGTCTCAAACAGGGCAGCTAGAGTAGGATCAATGGAGGCCTTTGCCCCCAAGAGAGGAAGAGACTTGTCTGACTTTCCCATGATGATAGAAGCCTAGGGATCCAGTCCCTTTTGAAAATGGGATAAAAATGTAAGATGGAAAAGCTGACAGGCCTGTAACTGTCAAATTTCCGTATTGTCTGCGCTTGGCGTTTCTGTTCTGATATTTCCTACTTTTTTTTACTTTTTCCTCTTTTTTTTTCTGGGTCTCGGCGATAGGCGCCGGATCAGTCACGTGGGGACTGATAGCGGTCCAACTGATGAAGGGGCAATGGAAGTCTCAGCCACAGGGAAATGCGATTTTGATAGTGGACTTCAATGAAATGACCCTATACCTACCTGAAATTATGACAATTACCTTTGAAATTCCTGTTGTCCTCAATTGAGCGAGACCGAGGATGATAAGATGGTCGCACGTCAAGGCGGTGAGTCTCCACGGGGCGCGGCAGCAATACAGCCGGCAGAACGCGATACAGGCGGTATACGGGAAGAGGAGCAGCGAAAGGGAAGCGGCCGGCCAGTCAGTTAATCAATCTCCATCATTGCTGCTGCTGCTGCTGCTGCTTTGCTGCTCTGCTGCTGCTCTGGTTCTTTCTCCCTCCGCCGCCGCCTCTCCTCCTCTTTTCCTCTCACCTCCAAGCTGCCATCGCTTCCCTAGCGCTTCAGACTTGGTGGTCTTTATCTCCAGACTCTTTTCCCCACACTACTCGCTCGCTTTCTGCTGGTTTCAACAATTTCCTCATCCAACCGTCTACCCTCCTCTTCCATGCCGCCCATCCTCCCGCTACGCTGCACTGTCGTCTTGCCCGCTTCGTGAGCGTTGACTTTCACCACCACCTCCTCCTACGTACAATACTTCCTCTCGACGAGAGTTTGCTTGCGCGGATTCTGGCGAGTGCATTTATACTACATATTGGTCAATACTTCCGAGTCCTTCTGGCTTGCTCCTATCCTCTCTCCGCGATCGCGGTGGTTCAGGGAACCGGACTCGGTCGCGGCAGCTGCGTCTTACGAGTTTCGCTGCTGGCGCATTACTGAACGGTATGTTCTTCGACGCTTTTCTTATGGATACTTGGTTGGTGCCAGATACTCGCGATGTTGTCACGGCTCTGGGACCTCGAGACAGCGCCCTGAGCGTTGCAGTTGGGTCGGCGCAGTTCCCAGAGCCCAAACCGGGAGCGAAAGTCACTTTCGCTCCGTCTGGGGTGTGATCAGAACCTCCGCACCGCCTTTGGCAACCCTCTTTCTCCCCTCTCATCCTCGACATTTTCCTCTTCCACTCTTCTCCCCAGCTAATGAGTTTCATATCGCCTTATTTTGCCGTATCATGTTTTTTCTCAAGTCGTCTAACGTTTTGTTCTCCATTGAACTAGATTTACGACCCTGATCCTACCAACAACCACGGATTTGCCTACCCCCCACAGGTCTCCAGACCACAATCTCCACACACAACGCCCTCAATTCTTCCTCTCTGACCTTCCCCCTCTTCCTACCGATAAACTTCATACTCGCGCATAACCATGGAGGTAGCCGAAAGCAGGGAACCTGTTTCGGTGGGTGCGCCAGCTGGAGCAGACTCTGCCGTCACCAATGGCGAACAGAACCTCCTTCTGGACGACTCATTCATGGGTGATGATAGATCTAGCAGTTTGAGTGAGATTGATGACGTATCTGAAAATATTCCATCCGACTATGAGTCTCCGAAGCCCGATAAAGTGGCCCCGGAAAATGATTCAGAAGCGGAAACGGAGCGCATTGAGGACTCACCAAACTTCCGTTCAAAAACAAATATCGTCGTGAGTGCCTCTGGCTATGAGCCCAGTCCCAGCAAGCTGGCTCAGTCGACGACCTACGATGATGTGGAAGATGACGAAGAGCACGTGGCGGACGATTCCCCCAGTAAGCCCCGTGCTAAAACCACACGCACCGCTGAAATGGACAATGATACACCCGGGCTCGATGACTCTGCGCTTTCAGAAAGCACTGGCAAGAAGCGCAAGCGGCTAGAGTCCGGTGACGAGGGGGGTATGGGAATCGACGAAGAAGATTTGCCGCCCCAGAAGCGCCGTGGCTCAGTCAAGAGTGACTTGAGCGACCCTCCGCCAGATGACCTCGTACTCACACCCGAGCCAATGGACGAACCCCCAAAGCTTGTCGAGGAAGACATCGCAACCGACGACGTCCCCGAGTCGACCTTACCTGCGGTACCTGCTAAGGGTAAGAGGGCCAAGAAGGGTAAGCGGAAGGGTCGGAAAACCAGAGATGCCGACGATGAAGCCGATAACGGTGCGCTTGAGACCGGCGCAGAGGCCGATGACGTTGGCGATGATGATGCCGCGGAACGTGGTGAAGATGCGGATGACGGTGAAGCTGCTGCCGCCAAACTTGAGGAAGAGTGTAAGTTGCCCCAGAGATGCAGGCGCCAGTTACTCCGATTCTGATCTCCACACCTAGCAGCCAAGAGGATATCTGCGATGGATTCTCTCGCCGTATTAGAACAGGAGTTTGCGACCCTACGAGACAAGTATGAACCCATTGGTCTTTGTGTGTTATGAGCAGATTACTAACCACATGGCTGCTAGGATCTATGACGAGAGGATTTCAAAATTGAACCGAGAGCTAGAGATGCTCGACGCAAAGAATCCCACGCATCCTGAGTACCTGCGGCAGCTTGAATGCATCGGACGGTATCGCGATACGAAAATCAAATACGAACAGACACTCTTTCAGTACAGGATGAAAGCCTTGTTGAACAAGAGTCTAGCTGAACGTGCTCAAGCGCATAGCACCTTCTTTCAACGGACACGAGATATTCGCGAAAAGCATTCAAGTGCGATCAGCAAGCAGTTTTACTCTATCCAGCACGATCGCTTCAAGACGGACGAGATTAGCCCGCAACATTACATTCCGTTCCCCACCCGCCGGTCACAGCAGATCGCCCACCAAACCGCGTACAACCAAGAGGTGTCTGTCATGGCAGGAGTTGCCAAATACGTCGGCTTTCCAGCTGCACCTGCGCTGTCCGCTGCACGGCCATCGGAGCTTGATGAGGATCTAGAAAAGATGGGTGTAAGTTCCACCAAACCTTAAAACCTTTCCGACAGTGAACGTCCAATCTAATATGGCACACGCAGATCTCCATCGAACCACGAGTTCCCGCATCACAGGCTCAGTCCACGCTCCCGCGGGGTGCCATGCCGGCCATGTCATCGAACGTCTACCGCACAGCTGCAGAAGAAGCTTTCTTGGAGCAGACGCCATGGGCTAATCCGCAGCATCCCATACATCAGCACCAGCAGCTGCCACAACGACCGCAGAGTCGGGTCTTTGAGAATCCCCGGGCTCCTGTGTTCACAACACCTGCCGCACAAAAACGAGTGGTCGACATACACGCACCCAACGGGTCTGCCTCCACTATCGCCGAAAACTCCTCAGCCAACAACACCCCTTACGACCAAGAACAACACCCTCAACATCCCGGACCCTTTGCAAACCCCGATTACGAGGCGGAGAGGAGATCTGGGTTCCGATCATTAAGTTCCTCTCCCCTCGATGTACGCAAACCACATCCCGCCTCGTATAATACAACACTCGGTCACCGCTCTCCCCAAGGGACCTCTCAAAATGCCGCCTATTCACCACCTTCGGCCCGACTCGGTCTCTTCCAGTCGGCTACCGTGAAACGTGATTCCTCGCCGCCACTCTCATCTCGACCGGTCAACTCCATCCATCAGTCAACAGGACTCCTTGGCCCTGGGTCGAATCAGATGGCAGCGCGATAATGGAATTCTATCACGCAACAGCAAACTCACCATCTACCATCATTTCTTCCGAGGTGTGGACATTCTCCATAGCTCAATGTACAGGGCTTCGCTTTCAGGTGTTGTAGAGTGTTTTTAATGTATGTACGGATTTGGCATGTATGACTGGCACCAACAGGGACGAATTCAAGTGATCTATCTATTCAGCAATTTCTGCCGGTTCCTCTTATCTCACTGTTTTTTGATGAGGAACTGCTTTGGGGCAATGTGTGAATATGGGCGAACGGATGCATCGGCTGATAGCTAATACTTTTTGCTGGGGGTTTTCTTCTTGATCTTTTTTTCTCCAAACAATCACCGTCTTCTCTTCTTTCTTCTTCTTCTTCTTCTTCTTCTTCTTCTTCTTCTTATTATTCTTGCTGTTCACGATACATACTACATATGCCCACGGTGTTATGTCTTGACCTTTTTGCTCTCTTGGCGTTGTTGGGATATGTGTATTCTTTTTCTGTTTATTACCACGGAAAGCCGTGCATAGGAGGTTTATTATTAGAATAGAAACTCTCTTCACTGATCAGTGCAACTCTCCAATTCTTATTTTGTTCCTGTCCTTCGATCTTTCACCATATACGGTGTGGCACTAGTACATCGGTATCACTCAGAAGGTACTACCGAGTGCAGACAGTATCCTTACCAAGCCACAAGCCACACGTACCGGATCAACATCTCCGCGCGGAATTAATTCCAAAGCTACATAAGCCATGTATTGATTAATACTCTCTCCCCCATGGTATAGATTGAAACTTAGATAAATAGATTGATTGATAGATAAGCTCCCGCTAACTCGAATAAATGGATACCATCTCCTCCCCCCCCACATCTAGATAACTTAACTAACTACTGTAGTACTATAGTAGTACTACCACCATGGAAGGAGAATCAGTTATAATTTCCCAGACAATGGATTGATTGGCTATTTAGTGTATGCGAGTGACGCGATCAGAAAGGAGATGGGGGGAATCATCCGCGACAGAGGTAGGTATTGATAGATTTGCTTGTATGTATGTATGTATGTATGTATGTATGTATTCTCTTTCTTTGATTGTGTCTGTTGCAAGTTACAAAGTAATACATAACAGGGTAGGTATTTCTTTAGATGCGAGGGGGTGTGTTGGTGTTGGTTACGGACGCTTCCTCTTCTTGCTCAGGTGGTGGTTGGGGTGGCATCTGGTTGTGGTTGTTGTTGTGGTGGCGGCGGGGGAGTGGGGTTGGATTCATCCGTGCCGTTGGTGAGGGGAGTGTTGGACTCTGATGTTGTGATAGGGCGGGATGCGAGGGTGGTTTGCTGCTGCTGCTGCTGAGGCTGAGATTGAGGAGTCTGGGATGGTGTTTGTTGCCCTTCTTGTTGTTGCTGTTGCTGCTCTTCGGTCTTCTTGGGACGCCATTTGGCGAGTAATTTACCGGCCAAGGGACGGGATTCTTCGTCTAAAGTGTGGGGTAGGATGGTTAGCGTTGGGGTAGTCTGTGCGGGGGAAGATCGCAACATACAGGTATCGTAGACGTCCTCGAGGGCGTTGAGACACATCTCCCGTGCGGGGGGTCGGAACATTATCAGGTATCTTGGAATTTTGTTAGCTTCTTGATACTTGAGGTTTCCTCTCTTCTTTTGGGTGGGTATGGAACGTACAGTAGAGATTGAATGCATAGGTTCACGCGCTCTGGATCCTTTGCTAGACTGGCCACTCGCTTTGTGATTGGGATCGTCACCTCGGGTATCTCACTGAGGAAGCGGATGAAGATCTTCGTGTCCCGAGAGTCCAGGTACGGGAGGAACCCGTCCAGGAGTCGCAGGACCCAGTGGTCGTAGTGTAACGGAACTGTTACCTCCTCATCCTCTTCGCGCCGATGCTGCGCAGTAAACTCCATTTGCATCCGGTCGTTGTACCATTCCTCGTTAAGCCACATGATGCCAATGTTTACGCGACCGCGAAAGTCCTCTAGGATATATCGGTAGAGGGTCTCTCGGATAGAGTCCGATATTGGGGCCTTTCCCTTCTCGACTTTTCCGCTTCCCGGTTCCAGACCAGCTGGGGCCCGAGTGGCAAGTCTAGTGAGCAGGGTCACCCAAGCATCACGGTCGAAGGTGCTTCCAGCTAGGCGAGCAAAGCCTAGTTGCTGTTGACTCTTCCCTTTGGCTTGGTTAGGGGCAACTCCGGTGGACGTCAACATGCCAAACACTCTCCCAACAGCACTTCGACCAATGTCTGCGGCCTCATCTTCCGTCAGAGGCGGTGGCTGGGGTAGAACGAAAGGGCCTAGAGATACTAGGTCCGGTTGGAGGTCGGCCACTTCAGCGGATACGGCTTCCGCTTGTTCGGCTGCCGGTTCGGGAATGTCCATGGGCTGGTACTCGGGTTCGTAGTCGTCGTCATCTTCTGCCTCCGCTGGGGCTGCCGGAGGCTGTGCAGCCTGCTGCTTCTGAATTGTTTGATACCGCATACGTATCGCCTGCGGCTCCGTTAGCACTGGTTTTCCTTCCTTATTTGGAGTTCAGCATACCTCAATGGACTGCTGCATCATCGACTGGTCGACACGACCTAGGAGAGGAACAACAATCTTGAGTACAATATCGGTAGGCAACTGCTTCACATCGAAGTTCGACAGCTCCCGGTCTTCAGTGAGCGTGAAGAGCTGTGAATAGCTAATCGGGCCTGGTGGCAACGGCGGAACCTTGATCAGGGCTGGCGTTTCAGCATCGAGTTTCGCCCGTTTAGTGTTGTCTAGCCCGTCCGTTGGCTCAGTAGGCAAACCGCGCTTCCGCGAGGCTTCGTCGGCCACTTCTATGCGCGACTGCATCAATCGGTCGATATATTGCTGCATCTTGCCCGCCAGGGGGTGGTTGGGGTTCCTGAGTAGATCCATCAGCAATCCAACCCGCTTATCTTATGCCATCATCTTGTCTCACCTCTTGAGTATATTGATCATCACCGCTCTGGCGGTCCGTTCCATCGACTTGACACCAACTCGGACCGAGGGAGTTATGGGAGCGCGCACTTGTCTCGCAGGGTAGAAGTTCATGATCGCGTTGATGATCTTATTGCCCACGGATGGTCGGGTTCGAATGAGGACGGCCAGGCAGTTCAAAGTCGCATTGACGAGAAGGGGATCACTTTGAAAGTATTAGCGACATTTTACGTTGACTACCGCGGATGGAAAGGGGTCTTAAATACCTTGATTCTTCTTGGAAGACAGACAAAAGTCGGTCCAGCAATCCGGACGCCTCTGCTTCCAAATTTGGGAGAGACAGGATAGCATGGTTTCGGGGCACAATGGCCAAGGAGGTCTCATTCTGGTCGGGTCGCTGGGAAGACAGCGTTAGTCTCAGCGAAATACGCAAGATCTCAGTGAACATACTCTAGGGTCGGCGATGGGGCCATGCGTCTGCACGTGGACGACTCGCTGTACGAACTTGATACAGCAGATCTTGACGGGGAAAGGGAAGGAGTCCCATCGACGCAGGATGTCCTGTTTGATGGCTGTCATGTTCTCCCAGGCGGTTGCCTCTGCGGGGTGATTGATACTGCAAGGTCAAGCGTTAGTACACTGCGAAGCCCAATGGGTGCTCTAAATCACATTGCAGCACCATGCAGCAATCTACGAGAGCTCTCCCGAGGGGGGCGAAACAGAAGCAAGCATCAGCCACCTACATATGCCTAAACACCAGCGGATACAAACTGGCCGCATTCTGCACTATATGTTTCAAAACCATGGGATCCTTTTCCGGCAATTCCAATATCTCTCGTAATGTCTGCAGCACGTTCGGGGCCAATTGTTCCTTCTGAGTCGAAGCCAACGCGGGACTGGCAAACGTCTCGGCCAGGAACTCCGATCCCCATCGTCGCAACTCCAGGCGTGTATTTGCGCCAATTAACGGAAGAACACCGTTCACGATCTGTGGGTAGAAGGCAGCATCGCCAAGGACGAGGTTTCGGGCGGCGTTGAGCTGGGCGATCTGATCGACGAGGTGATCGGTCGACTGAGCCATTACGACTGGTTCAATGGCCGACTGAGCCGGCCAGATGGAAGGAAGGACGAGGTTTGAAAGATCGGATTTGTAAAGCAAAAGGGGAACTGGTTGGGTTTGTCTACGCAGGGGAAGGGGAAATTCACGGTGCAAGCACCGGGCTTAGAATGCGACTAGATAATCTGCCGACGCGGCGCATACAGCGTAAAGGTGAGTACCAGTGATTGGTAAATATGAGAAGAAAGCAACGATGACTCGGGCGGAAACAAAGGGGTGATGTAGGTAAGAAATACCAACCGAGAAACCCGAGGGGGGAGAAGGAGAGGAGGAGGATAATGGTAGTTGTTGTTGGTGGAAGAAGTCAAGCTGAATGAATGGATGGACGGAAGCCGAAGCAGGAATCTGGCCGGCGCTTGACACAATGGTCACGTGAGACTTGTCTCGCGGCATCCACCGTCATTTCCCTTAATCCTTGTCCCCCATCCTCATTCCATATCTATTGACATCCTTTCTAATTGGACCGTCATTCTCATCCAGGAAGAGCTCAAAAAGTGCCTAATTGGTCGTTGACAATGGCATTTGGCCCCGATGCATTCTTAGTATAAATACTCATTATGCAGGTGTCATGGATTCAACCCTAGATCTATTGATGATCGGCCGGCACTAAGATGGCCTCGAGCACACCCATGGGTCCAGTATAAGATGGAACTTAGCAGCATGTGGATGTACTGAGAAGCACTGCTAGCACTGTCTAAAATGCCTTGTACCTGGCATCCTCAATTTAGAGACAATGCTAGTAGAGTCAAAGAGAACTTCAGTCAACACCGTCACGTCGTACAGTCCAGACAGCCATATACCACATTCCACCAGCCATTATCATGCCAAGATCCGGTTGAACAGTGGATCCTTCTCAAGCAGTTGGGAATCCCCAGCTTTCAGGGTGATGCATACTTCCCAAATTGGAGTCGACCCACTTTTCTCCAGGGACGTCCGTGACGGCAGAAAGATACACCCACCAGGGACAAGCGTGAGCCCGGGCTCGAAGTCTACAATGTGGCCCAGTCCAGCGCCAAAATCTAGCGAAAAGACCTTGAGACCTCTCCAGCTGGTTACAATGATCCCCGCGGGTCCTGCTTCAACCTTGGTCCAATCTTCATAGTCGGCGACGGCGGCTGATGCGCTATACATGAGAGTCTTGTCCATGGTTGTAAGCTTCATGCGGATACGCAGTGCCAACTGAGCTAGATGTAGGAGATCTGCATCACTTCCAGTCTGGCCTGCCATCTCTTCAGAATAGATATCGTCATGGACAGGGAAGATAGCGTTCCCCAGGTAGGTCTCTGGTAGCGGAGGATCAACTCGGCTTCGCAAATCAACGGCCATTAGAAAATCGGCGCTTTGGGTTCTGTCTGCTCGCTCCGGATGAAGGGCTCGGTCGACACAGATGGCCAGTGTTGCGGTAATAACATCGTTGCTAGAGATCCACTCTGAGGACTGCAACTGAGGCATGAGTTGTGTACAAATGTCCTTCACCTTGGCTACTTTCTCGGGTCGGAAGGTGTATCGCTTTGTCTCGACAATAGAGGACAAGGCAGATTCCATTGCATTCCATTGTTCAGTGGAAATGTTGGGATCAAAAACAGGCGTTCCCAACTCAATGCTGTGGTCGAGGCGCTTCACACATTTAGATGGAAAGTTTGCGACTTCCTTCCGGAGGTCATCATGGGTCTTCGCGATAGTCTGCACGAGGCTGGTTGTAATTTCTTCGTTGGTTGACTTGCAGCACTCGGCGACTGCTTCCAGGATCACACCGGCCCCGGTACCATCAAAGACGCTGTGCCAGAAGGACATGGCCACAATGATCCTGCTATGAAAGACATTTGCCTGAAAGCGAAGAACAGGACGCTGTTGGGAGGCTGGGATAAATGTGGGCAGAGGCAGATAGGACTGGGTCGGGTGAGAATGAGAGTCTGCATCGCCGTCAAAGTGCTTGATCTTCAGCATAGGGACATCAGAAAGAGGAACACATGGGGGCGCAATATGCATCCGGTTCTTGGGGCCGTCTGGCACACTGTAGAGAACCACTTCTCCTGCGAGCCAGGGCAATTCTGAAATCAACCTGTCAATTCCTTTCTGGAGGGTGGAGAGGGCTGTCTGCGTGTCGGTCGTGTCAAAGTACAGAATATACGGCAGGAAGAGCTTCGCTGGGATGTGGTCAAGTGGGCTTAAAGCCAGCAGACCGGGGCTATCCGACATGCTGGAAGATTGATATGAGGAGAAATTCAAGTGGAATAATACAGTCACGGAGTTTTATGTTGGTCAACGAGGTGATGATCCTCGCCGTTCAGATCTTTGATGCGAACCATGTCCTTGACAGGTTGCGATCGTCCCATCCCTCCTGAATCCCCTTTAAAGCAGCCCACTACGGCCGTTCAACTCCGAAATTAATAGACCTGATAACAAAGAAACGGTGTAACCGGGGTTGTTGTTAGTCTGACGCCGCCGCCTACATAGATTGCGCCTCCCAGTAAGGTGCAAGATGCCATCAGACTCGAGTCAGTCAGGGCTGAGCCGGCTGATGCGGGTTCATAACAAAGTCCAAGAGCCATTCTCGCAGCATTACTCCTTGATTATGATAATCGATGGCTGACCTTTACAGTGTAACATATCCCTTTAATCTTTATGTCAATGGGCGAGGCATTGACACCATCTTGGCCGTGGCAGCCTCCGCGACCAACGGTCACTCCCCAGTTCATGCGCCAAGTGGGCCACTATGACAGCCCCGAATCGAATGATGGTTCATGTTCGCCTCAAACAACAAAGTGGCACAGCACCGGCCCACTTGGTCACTTTCAGGATTGGCTTCCCTGTTCTATAGATTATTTATCATTTCTATTATGTCTTTTAACAGGATATCTACCCTGCAGTCGGCTGATGGGGGACGGATCCCTGCAAGTACACGCACTTAATCATTTCAGTAAATGGAATGTCGCGATGTCTGGATTTATCTTGACTGGAACGCCGGTCAGGGGGCTATTGTCAGGCTTTTTGCTTGCGGATGCCTCTTTACTGTTGCTATACTCGTTCAAACCAGCTCCGAATGAGGAAATAAAACTAAGGCCAAGGAAGTCACCGTAGCGGCTGACAAGAAAATGACCGGTACAGATGGCTCTCCGATGCATCTTCCTGATCCGGCGCCTCCAATGGTGTACACAGTGAGGGGAGTGATTGGCGCATTCAGTCTTCTCACCTTGATTGTTTGCTGTCTTAGAGTATGTTCACATTTCCGCAATGGCAGCATACACGGGCTGATCGACCTGCGTCTCCCTAGCTCTATCTTCGAGGATTTATCATGCACGCTCTCGGTCTGGATGACTGTCTTGTTCTTCTTGCCCTAGTATGTACTATTTTCACAGAGGATGAAGATGACCCAACTCTTAACCGCACTGAGCAGTCCATGGTCCTTGTGTTCGCGGCCCTCTCCATCATTCTTACAACGTACGGGATTGGCTACCATCAGGATACTGTTCCTACTGCAGATATGATCATGATGGAGAAGGTTAGTGCCTTTGCTGTCTTTCTATATCTGCTGACTTATTGTTTCAGTACGTATATATCTTATTCTGCCTATATCTCTGGGTGGCCTTGGCGGTCAAATGTAGCCTTACTGTTTTTATCATGCGGGTTTTCCCAACCAAATGGATCCGGCGGGTTGGTCTGGGAATCATGGTGCTCATGGTCATCGTGACAATTTCGGGGGAATTACCCTTGATCTTCCAGTGCTGGCCAGTGCAGGCAGTGTGGGATTCGACCATTCCTAACTCGAAGTGCTTTTCCAATGCTGTGTTAGAGGACCTCCAGCTGTATCAGGCGATACTGATGTTACTATTTGATGTGAGCATTATCACTCTTCCGATGCCGACAATCTGGAAGCTTCAAATGCCCATTCAGCGTCGTTTATTCATTATTGGACTGTTTTGTCTTGGTATGTTTGCAGGTCATTACTTTCCTTTACTGAACATCCTAGGCTGACTGATGAAGGATTCGTGGCATGCAGTGCCGGGCTGGCACGCATTCCGCTATTAGATTTCCAAGTCAACTCAACTGACTATACATGTATGACCCCCCTTCTCTCCGTTGATACAAATTCACTTCACTAACCGCACATCGTAGACGTCGGTGCTGTTCCCCTCATATTGATGAACGTCGAATATGCACTCGGTCTAATCACCGGCTCTTTACCTTCGCTACGTGTGCTACTTAGGAACATTCCGGGGCTGAACAGCAGCAAAAAGAGCACCGATCCGAGCCGAGATTGGAGAAATGGCCCTGGTCATAGCGGATACCAGCTCAGCGAACGGAGTCACTGGGCCCATAAATTCAAGGGGAAGGGTAAGCTCGATCTTGAGAGTTGCGATAACGAAAGCCAACAGCGGATAGTCGTAACCACGACAGTGGAACAGGAGTAGATACTGCTGATAAATGCTAAGATTGTGTTCTCTTCCTTATAACCTGGGACTTTCTAGCAGAGTATATAGCCATTGGTTTAAGGGATAAGATGAAGTAATGGGAGGTAGTAAGAAATATACTAGTAGATCTTACATGCAAGGCGATGGGAAGTAAATGAAAGCATCATACAGGTGGAAATCTCCCATACTAAATACTACTACTACTACTACTACTACTACTACTGTCATGATTATTTGAATGTGATCAAGTACTAAGAGTACTAGTAGTAGCCTTACAAGAAATATATAATTAGCAACTGATACTACTACAATTTCAAGAGAGTCCGACCTGATGCTAATGCAACATCAATGACTCAATCTACTGCATTTAGAATATGAGAAACCCATCAAGACAACGACATATGAGAGCATCATGCAATAAAAACCAGTATACGGAGTATAGGGATAAACAAGTAGTTAAATCCCCGCGGCTCCGCCTCGGCCAGCAGCCACCACCAGCCCGCCAAGCCCGGGCCGAATCCCAATGAAGGCGTCAGTCGATCCTCTCCAAAAGTTCCCCGTCCACCTCCGAAAAGAAAAAACGTCGCGCCCTCTCCAATACCCTCACTCATCTTAAAGCCTCAACCAGTCACCACAGACTCAAACCTTTCCACAATGCCTGCCGGAATGTACGTCTCGATATCCACTTCCATTGCTTATTACACCCCATCCCAGACAGAACACCCCACTACTACCTACTACCCCGATCACCCCATCCCATCCATCGCAAGATAGAGAGACACACTGACTCATACCGTCAATGAAACTTACAGCTTCAACTCAACCTACTACGGCAAAGACTACCGCGCCGGAGCGGCCCTTCTCCGTGCCCGTCGGCCGTACCTGTTCAAGAATGCTTTTACCGGTCTGGCCTTGGTGTCTTTCACCATTAGTGTTTGTACGTGCATAATCTCCCTTCTGCCTGGTCTTGTGCTTCTCCTTGATTATTGTCGCTGCGCGCATGCGCAATTCTATCTCATCACAGCCCCTGAACCTAATCAAAGAATACAACAATGGCTAATGTCATCTCTATTGTATAGACGCCTACACCATCCGCGCCGTCGGACAGGATGAGTTCTCGGACGTGAAGGTTCCCGATGAGCCGGCTAAGAAGCAATAATTGATTTGAATATTGCATTTGCGGAATACTGTTGTCGATGTTTTATTATATTTCCGGTTTCAGCGTATGCTGATCGAGCTGTGTGTGTGCATGGATTGATTTGATTGATTGATTGGTTGATTGTTGATGGTGTATTGGGATTGGAGTTAGGTTTGAATAACTATGAATATACTGTATGTTTCCCTTTTTTTGTTGGGGTTGTGCTGGGTTTGGGTGTGTGAGGGGAGGATGTGATGCCAGGGAAGGGAGGAGATGCATGTGTGTAGATGGTGTTGCTGATCAAGTGGAAATCTCTGCTCGCGTCTTCTTATTATTTATCTGTATATTATTCGAAGGATATCCGTGTTCAATATGTCATTATCATTCTGACAAGGTTCGGCTTGGTTGCTTAAGAGTGGAAGTACAATCTACACTTCTAACCAAATGCACAACTTCTATGATTCCGCCTATATGGTGATGTGACACGTACAAGAACATGGAATTGAAAATGACATGCTAAGAAATGAAGAAGGGATTGATTTTACACCCAACCTGGTATCTATCAACGACACCAGGCCCTTTACTCGGTCCGCAGGACACGAGGGCCCTTGCGCTTGGTGGCGCGCTTGCGCTTGTGGCCCTTGTCAAAGGCCACCGCGTTGTTGTGGTCACGGCCGAGGTTGTCGAGATCCTTGACCTTGTAGATACGGATGATCCAGTTCTCACTGGTGAATGCCTCCTCGAGCGTGTTCAGCTGAGGGCCTTCCGCGGGGAGACGAGATCCACGCACGCGGTCAACGGCCTGGCCGGGACCGAACAAGGAGTTGAAGTTGTAGTAGGACATTTTGTACCTGTAGTCGCTGTTAGTGTCATACCAATGCCATGGCAAAAAGGGGATATCTTACATCAAGCTGTTACGCATGGTCGGGGTGGCTCCGTCATCCACCCGGTACTCACCGCGGGCAGTGAAGAAGTCACGCTCCTTGACCTCGTCGGGCCAGATACCCTCGGCGATACGGACCATCCACAGGAACTTGTTGATGTCGTCACCGGAGTAGCCCAGCAATCCACCAAACACCACCAGCACGTAATCAACATCGTGCTGACGGAGGATGGGGTAACTGACCTCTTCACGGGAGCTCATCGCCTTACCAACAGTGGCAATGTGGGTGTTGTTCCACGTGTTGTTGTCCACCAGGGTAGGGCGGTCCGCCATACCACCAATCTGGTAGCCGTAATCCCACCAGGACATGATTTTGGCGTTGTGCTCGGTGTTCTGGCGGAGCCAGTAGTACGCCTCACGGTAGTCATCGATAATGTGCTGGCTTCCATCAGGCAAACGGCTCGCGAGAACCACAGACGGGGAGGAGTAGGCGTTGGAGGTGACCCAGGTGCAGTGCGCAACGAAGAGTAGCAGATAGATGACAACGGAGGAGGTCATGACAGCCTTGGACAGGTAGGATGTGACACCGACATCGGGCTTCCTGGTGGAACGAAGACCGTCCGAGTTGTCCTCGTTCGCCTTGGCGCGGGGGTTGGGGCCATTCTTCGCGAACACATACGTATCGAGAATGGTGGAGAGGGCCAGAGCAGCCGCAACACAAACAATGGGGGTCAGGGTCAACATCAGACGAACCATGACACCGGCGAAGTAACTGGCAAGCACCGAGTAGATGATGACAAAGACGTGCTCATCCTTGAGATCGCGGAAGCACATGTAGACACCAGCAGGGAAGAGCCAGATCAAGAAGTTCAGATCAAAGAAGAAGGCGGGCCAAGCGGTGGGCTGGTGCTCGGAGACGGACGCAATGATAGGGATGTGGATCTTGGCATAGCCGGTATCCCACAGGGAGTAGAAACGACCACTCCAAGGGGCGATCACTCCGGACACGGTGAGGACGACAAGTCCGACGAAAGCGATTCCGAAGACAACGATGATCATGGTAGTCAGAAGTCTCTGGAAGTGCTTGCCCGGGATGAAACCACGGACGAAGTCAGCAAAGGCCACGAGCTGGATGAGGCCGAAGACACCTGGCAAGGTCAGTACAGATCCTCTTCTCTACATTTAATAAGAGTACTTACCGAGTGCAGACATGTGGTCGCTGTTGCGAATCGGCAAGAATCCGACGAAAGGAATCTGCATACTGGCCAGAGTTCCCAGAGCATACCAGGTGGTGTAACTGATATAGATACGGGAGCTGTATCTGCCCATGCACAGAAGAACGAAAACGTGCAGAGGGATCAAGTTGGTGATGAAGACATAACCACCCCAGGCAGACACCATGTAGCCGTAGAACAAAGCTGCCAGAGAACCCCACATGATGGAGCCGTTCTTGACAGCCTTGATCCACAGGAAGAAGGTGAACACCAGCAGGAAAATAGCAATGGCCTCGTTATCGTAGCTGCCCGCGACGGAACGAGAGATGTAACCGGGGACGATACCCATGAAAGCAGCCGCAAGAAGACCAGCGGAGGGGGATGTCGCCATCTCGCGAGTCAGGAAGTACATTGCCAGCGCAGTCAGACCGGAGAAGGCCGGGGCAAGCAAGACACAGATGTTACGGATATCGACAGGGATGGTGAGGAAACGCAAGACGTGGTAAATAACACCGCTGGTCACCATCAGACCGGGGTATAGCGTGCCACCAGTGACACGTCCCAGGGGGTGCCATGTTCCTGAGCAGCATCGTCAATCAGTATATGGAGGTAAGGCATGCTTGGCAGGAAGAACGTACGGTCGTCGAACCAGTCCCAGAAGCTCTCAAAGCCATGGGAGACCAGATATTTTGTTGCGCGGAAGTTGAACCAGGGGTCGACTGTAGGAGTGAGCTACATTAGCATCGGTTGCCTCTGAATGGAGCTGCCTGCACACGGTGTCGAATGCCGGATCCGCGGTAGCGTCAAGGTATAGATGGAGGATTGGTATCAAAACATACACTCGTGAATAATACTCTCGAATCCTAGAGGGTCAATGTTAGTGACGATAACTCAATTGATCAATTATATGAGTCAAGAGACATACGGATAACACTGAACAGACGACTGGACACAGCAGCAGCGGCAATGGTAGCTAGAATGATAATCCGCAGAAGGCCGCGTGTTGTTCTGCCGGAGTTACCCTTCAAGAGGACATCGAGGGGTGATTCGGCCATAATGGCCAGGGGAGAAGAAAATCAAAATCCAATGGGAAGAAAGATGAACAAACAGCCCTCGACCTGTCCCGGGAGCTGATGAGAGGGAAGGGTTGGGTGGTGATGTGAACGGGGGAATGAATTGAAGAGTGTCGAGAGCTTCGCAAGGTGGTCTCTTCTGGGGCTTGGCGCCAGGTACGTAAGTCACCCAAGTCAAACCACAATACTTTGTTACTAGTTCCCTTTTCCCGTTGCGGGTTTGGGGGATTTCCTCCGAAACGTCCCCGCACCGTCAGTGCTTAGTATCAGCGCAAGTCTAGTCGACCATCAGTCGAACACATCCGAATCGTTACGCCCTGTTTCAAGAGACCTTATTTAACGGGAAAGAACTCGAGCTCGAATTCTCGCGATCGCTCAACTGTTATCTCACCATGGATCTTCCCCCACTCACACAAGAGCAACTGACCGCCGTCGTTGCCTCTGCTAAATCGCCGACGGAGCTCTACGAAACACTATCAAACTATGAAAGCGAAGCTTGTTTGCTCTCCATGAAAAAGGGCAACCACACGGAGCTACTCAGTCTTTACTACTCTACATTCTTCTTCTCCAACCTTCTCGTAGACAAAATGTGAGCTATTCCCAGCTATCCCCACAGTTGGCAAATGCTAATCCGTAGTTATCCAGTCCCGAAGCTCGTTTATCGACACAACGCGTGCCACAAGAATTACTACAAAATGACTCGTCACTACAGAACTGCTTGACACTTCTCCGAGCGGTCTGGCAACGGAAATATGAACAAGTTTATAAGATTCTGCGAGAACTGCCGTGGCCAGAAGCACTCCGACCCATAGTCCAGAGTTATGAATGTAAGGCAAAACATCTTCTCGAATATGCCTTGCCTTCTCTATGTCCTTCATATACTGACCTTACCTAGCTCATTTCCAGGAAAAGACGTTAAAGGAAGTCAGCAGGGCCTATGAGGCGATAAGGCCAGCAGCCGCTGCAACCTATCTCGGTCTGGATGCTGCCGCCGCACAACAGGGTGACCCGACCATCATGCAGAAGTTCATAGCGTATGGATGGACATGGGATCAGGAAAAAGGGCTGTTGCACCCGAAACCGATCGTCGACGAAGTCCCTCAGAAAGATGTTCGGTTGTATAATGAACTGAGTCAGGTCATGGCCTTGATCGGAAATCGCCGGAGTTGAGGGTATCTGGGAGTCTGCAAAAACAGGGGCTACCTTGCAACTCGATTATCCTACAGTAATAGGCGGGACATGACGGAGAGATCGGATGACTACATATCTAGAGCGCAACATCCCGGGTCCGCACGTAACGATTTGACGGCGTCACGGAGCATATCATAGAACAGCCCCATAACAATGGGCATAATATTGCGCAAGCGCACTCAGTACGAGAAGAAGATCAGCAATGAAACCGAAGCATACAGAATCTCTTGCTCTTCTGGTCCAACTGTAGTGATACAGACGCACAACAGCCCAGGGTATGTACAAGATGCGGGGATGATGTCTATAGGGGAAAAAGAAAAATCATTCCTTTCGCTCGCAATGACACGACTCTGGGAAATTAGACCAAACAATAATACATAATCGGGGCCGACCCGAGATCTCTCGCCTATACCTTCAAAGAGGTACGACTCTTAGAGAGATAACTGCAACTTCATCTGCGTGCCGTATACTTCGATTCCATTCTAGTTCTCGCCAGCCTTCATCTTCAGGAAAGCCTCAAGGTCAAACCGGCTGTCCTCGGGATCCGTAATGACTGTGCAAGTTCCCTAGTTAGCATTGGGTGTCCGGTACATGCCGCTGGGGGTTCCAATGGGGACTGCAATTCGGCACTGGTAAAGGGGATTCAGAGTATGGAAAAGCTAGCACCAAGACGTACCTCCGCTGTTTTGCGTGTCCTTGGGCGCCGTCTTCTTCCTCCACTCAGCCTTGGCCTGCTCGATCAGGCGCTCCTGGCGGGCATATTCGCGTTCGGCCTCGGCGTGCTTAGCAGTGGCGGTGATCGAAGACTGGTGGTAGAAACCGTAGACGAGACCGGCAACGAGGGCCGAATAGCGCAGAACCTGGATGGGCGAAGGGAGCGGGTTAACCTCGAGGGTCCTGTATCATGACAATGGGTCCAGGGCGGATACTGATGACACTCACGTTGACACCCTGTGTGGTAGCCATCTTATGAGAACCCTGGCCTCCGGAGCGGCGAATGGAACAGATCAGTGAGACGAAAGATAGCAAGGCCGGATTCCGAGCGACCGTTATGAAGGGATCGACTGTCAATGGCTGGCAATCGGACAGGATACTTTGAGAGCTGGTAAAGACGAAGTTCCTGTCGCGAGTTTTTCCGGACCGTCGGGCCCTTTGGCGCTTATGTCATCACCAACCCGGGTTTCCCTGGGCGCGGGACAGACACGGGGAAGTTCAAGGGAACGCGAACGAACCCTCCCCGTACTTTATTTACTTCGTCCCCAAGTTGACAGACCAGCCAGTTCGTGGTCTGGAGGGTTTCACCTTCCGTTACTCCCCCTCCTCCCCATCATGTCCTCGGCTATGCAACAGCGCAAGGCCGAGATCCTTGCCAAGAGAGCCAAACTCGCCGAACTGAAGCGGCAGAGAGAGCTGCGGCAGAAGGAATTCTCGCAAACCCGAGCTAACACCGGCGATGCTTCTGAGGTATAGAGGCCCTTTCCCCTCATTTATGGTCGCCCATGTCGCTTGAGAAGGGCCAGCGCTTATTTCTACTTGCCTTTTTAGGTTGTCTCCCCTGCCCCCAGCCGCGCAGATAGTCGAGCTGAGCTCGATGATCTTATCTCACGTTTGGTTGACCGCCCGGGGTCGGCTTCCATCAGCCACGGGGCCGATGGCCTGTCACGGAAAGGAAGCAGGCCTAATTCAGTCCTGAGCGCTAGCCAACTCAGTGGCGACAACACGGAAGCATTCAGTCCGACTACGCGACCACTTTCACAGTCAATTGCTGTTCAAACAGTCGGCACGGAGCCGTTTGTCGCGGCTCCTGAACCACAGCCCGCCCCTGAGCCCAAACCCGAAGTTGTCACATATAGTAAAGGAGTCCAGACGGACGACTTGAAACCATCAGGCGCCACAGACTCAGACGATGAAGAGAACAATGGCAGCAAGAGAGATAGCGAACGCGACGAAGAGATCCGGAGGAAGCTCCGCAAAGAGATCGAGGAGGAGCTGCAGGCCACTCAACAGCATGCTGACAATGAGGCCAGCGCCGAGGCCTTAAATATGCGTTACCCGCTCCGTACATTAGATGATGACGAGTTAAAGGCTGTCACGTCATCTGAGGACTTTCTGGATTTCGTTGAACGATCAGCTAAAGTCATTGAACGGGCACTGGACGAGGAATATGACGTGCTAGCAGACTACGAGCTTGGAGGCGTGGATGGTGAACTAGAAGATGACGATGAACATGGACGGAAGCGGCGCGGAATTAGGGAGGTCTGCCAGTTCTGGGACGAGCGATGGAGCAAGAAGCGTATGATTAGTGATCTTAGCTTTTCGCCGAAGGTTTGTTACTCTTGTCGCCATGATCAGCTTCGCATTGAGACCTGACATCTCCACAGTTCCCCGAACTTGTTCTGGCTGCATACACCAAGAACCCTTCTGCCCCTCATGAACCCGATGGTCTCGTCCAGATCTGGAACCAACACCTTCACTCCCGACCGGAGTATGTCTTTCATTCTACCTCTGACATCTTGGCCGCCAAATTCTCTCCATTCCACCCTAATCTCATTGTTGGCGGTTCGTACTCGGGGCAGGTACTGCTTTGGGATACTCGGTCGTCGCGCGCAGGCGGTGGCGCTCCCGTTCAGAAGACGCCGTTGACTGGCTCTGGGCATACTCACCCGGTCTACAGTATTTCCATCATTGGAACGCAGAATGCCCATAACATTTTGACCGCATCAACAGATGGTGTAGTCTGTGGTTGGACGGTCGACATGCTTTCCCAGCCTCAGGAATACCTCGAACTATCGACTCCCCCACCCTCGAAAACAGAAGATCTTGCACCCACGACCATGTCATTCCCGCAGTCCGACCCCACGTTCTTCATCGTTGGTACTGAGGAAGGAGGGATCTACCCATGCCATCGTTACGATAGAGCCGGTGCCAAAGCTGGTACCGACCATCGCCTCGTGTATCGCGGTCATAAAGCCCCGATCATGTCCACTGCATTCCATCCCGCTCGCGGTCCAGTTGATCTGGGCGATCTCATGCTTAGCTCTAGTCTGGATTGGAGCGTGAGGCTCTGGCGCATTCGTCCGCCGGCCACGACTGCCCCTGCAACCTCTGCTATAGCCACAACTCAAGTCGTGGAACCTATTCTTGACATTAATCGGGAGGATGTCGTGTATGATGCACGATGGTCCCCTCATCGCCCCGGTGTCTTCTCTCTCGTCGATGGTGCTGGAAACCTCGAAGTCTGGGATCTCTACACGGACACCGAAGTCCCCGTCGTGAAGACGACACCGTCCAAGGGCCGTGGAGGCATACTGACGAGAAGTCTTAACAAGGTAGCCTGGGAAGAGCGCGAGGGCAGGCGCATTGCAACGGGTGGGCTCGACGGTGTGGTTACTGTCTTCGAAGTCGGAAAGGGTCTCAGCGGTACTCCGGAAGACGTGCCTGCCGATGAATGGGCGGGCATGAAGAAACTCGTTGGAAAGTTGGAACAGCAGGACCGGAACAACTAATGCGGATGCAGCTGCTTTTGCGAAATACAAAGGAGCGAATGGCCGTCTTGTGACTTCCCAGCGAACGAAGCGACAAGGTCGGTTTATTGTCTCCTTCGCTCAAGCCTGTCCTCGCCAGCCAACAATCCATCGATTCATCCATCCGAGGTGCTTTAGTCTTCTTCCCGATCTGTAACACATTTTGAGCGGCGCCGCTGTTTAGTTTATCATATACCCCGAGGCACCTCGTTGATGTATCTATATTTGTTCCAAGCTAGAGAAACGAAATGGGTTCGATTATTTAGAGCCAGCCCAGATCTGTACATACTACCTCCCTTTAATGGACCCAGACGCCGTAAAAGTATAGTAGGACATGAAGTTTACGTTGGCCTATATAAGCAAATGTGTAGTCACGAGTCCCATGTGACCATCTTAGATGGCGACTTTCAAGTTCTATCATTCCCGTCATCAAATCTCGACCAATCCATCTATATACAGCAACCCATTCATTTATGACTCTTGACAGCCTCAATAACCCCCTCCCCACCACCAGGCGGCTGATGGAAAACGATCTTCTCCAGACCCACAGAGTTAAGCAGCTCACGCCATTGCTTCTCAGACCGCTCGAACGCGCCAACCTGGACCATCATCATGATACTCATGCACGCAGTGGGAAAATCACAATGTCTATCCGGGATAATATACTCATTAATAATGAGGCGGGAATACCCCGGTTCCATAGCTTCGACGATATTGGTGAGGATTTGACGAGCTTGCTCGTCGGCCCAATCATGAAGGATCCAGTGCAGATAATATGCTCGAGCACCTGCGCGAGATAATTAGCGTCTGTGTGTTCAATCGCGGTCTTGATTTGTGTGTGGATCATGGAGGCATCGTACCTTTGACTGGCTGCGGAGTGAAGAAATCGTGAGGCATCAGGTCGGTTCCTTTCGGGGGAGTCTTTATACTCGATACGACGTGTGGCAGGTCTTGGAGGACGAGACGGCCAGGAAGGGAGGGGATTTTCTCGTTCAAGGCATGCAGGTAATGGCCCTCGCCTCCTCCGATGTCGACGAGGAGGATGTCGTTCGCTGAATTGTTGAAACCGCCGGTGATGGAGCCTTTAATGTCGAACCAGTCGGCCCAGTTCGGGGTTGTTTGCTGCTTCAGGGTCATCCATTGTTGGAAGTCCTTTGCTAAGGAGGGGTTGTGACCAAGCCATTCGAAGTAACTGAGCTCTGTGTTCATTGCGAGCTGGAAGGGTGTGTCTTTGGCGGATTTGGGGAATTGGTTGTTGTTATTGCGGAAGAACTCTGGCGCTCTCGTGGTACAGAAGTTGCCGATATCGAAGCTAGAGTGGGTATCAGACGAGGGTGTGCTGGCATGATGGTGTGACTGAGGGGCTTACCATGCTCGAGTTGTGGCTTCGAAGGTAGGCTCAGCCATCACCATTGTGAGGGGTGATGGTTTGTATGACTGGACATCTTCTTCCAGAACGTAGCCAGAAGCTGCGAGCAGCCTCATGATTTGGTCTAGACGGTGCCATGTTAGTATTCATTATTCGGGCTTTTGTCGGCATATGTGTTTGGCGCATGCCATGCTGCTGCATCTGCAAACTATTACGATCGACCCTTCCAGAGTGGGACCGCAGAGAAAAGAAGCGTGTATCCATCGCCGACCCACGAGTTCACATTCGATGAGGGCTAATATGGAGATTGATAAGATAAGGGAGATCTACCCACGAGAACTACACTTGCGCCGGATTTGCTGGCGATCTGCTGTGTGGTGGTTGCATTGCTTTGGTTGTCTTTGATGGTATTGAATACGTTGAGTTGGACACCCATACGAAGTGCCATCAGAAGGACCGAATTCTTTTCATGCAAGTTAATGGACAGCAACGGAAATGGACAGCACGCTTCTGAAAACTTACCATAACGACATCCTGAATGACTGTCTCGGCTGGAGAGCCCAAGGCTGCCAGCAACCCCTGTGCGGCTTTGATGGCCTTGAAGCGGGTGCTCTCGTCAATTCCATCTCTGCTGGATTGGACGGCGCTTGTTAGCTCTGTTATCTGACGATCAAGAGACATTTTCTAGTCCGGCTTCTCGTGCTGTTTTGCTCTTCCTTGGTGCTAGATGCAATATCCTGCAAAAACGGGTGAACATACAGGAGCCAACCTCAAATGTCGCGGATAAAGGGCTTTAGTATGATGAAAGGATAATCGGAACAAAAGCTGAACAATCGCAAGCGTGGGGCCCCTGACTCGCGTGATGGAGGATACCCGATAACGAATGAGATGGGAGATCGAGCCGGAGCACGATGCTAGCGTGCCTTAGTGGACACAAATCTGCCAGGAACTGGACACTCAGCGGCATAATATGTGGGCGTAGTATCGGATCGAAGGTCGGTTCCAGAGTCTGTGCAAGCCATCCGAAAGCCATGTGGGGATCGGCGGAGATTGAGTTTCGCGAATGATGCGAGAACCATTGACTTGGATACTCTTTTGCCCGTGGCACCAGCACGGCACACTCAACACTGCATTATGTAATTGACTGGATCCATCGTCCAAGAGTTTCAAAGACGGTCCCAGTGAAGCCGGATGCTCTCATTCCAAGGAACACGGCTGAAGCTAACAGCTGTGGTCTTGGCCCTGTGCGCAATTAAGAGATGAAATTCCCTCACCCTTTCAAGGTTTTCTGGATTTGATGAGAGCTGCAGGCTTCAGATGCGTGAAACTGTCGCAGTAGCAGTCTGGGACCTCTAATGGCAGATGAAAAGTCGAGTTTCAGGCGGGATGAATGCACGATCCGACTCCGATGTCCCGTACAACGGGGATGCGCTGATAGGCGTGTCCGTTGCGATTGCCGTTGTTCAGATCGTGGTGGTTATAGCACGCTTTTATACACGACGACGCCTGCAACAGCTGGCCTTTGCTCTCGATGATTACCTGATTCTTCTGGCATTGGTACTCGCCTGTCTTACTGATTACTCCTGCTTCGTGCTTACATTGTTTGCAGATCGCCAGTTTAGGCCAGTCGGCTTTGTACATTATCTGTAAGTGGAATTTTCGATAATAGTGAGGCCAAGCGCTAACCGTTGGGTTTCATTTCGTATAGTGGTCAAACTCGCAGGAGTCGGACATCACATGGAATATGTCGAAGAGACGCCTGAAAAGCTGGTGATTTTGGAGAAGGTATAACCCTCTTGTTTGGTTGTTTAGCCTGACGTGCAGGCCTAACATAATTCAGGGCTTGTACGCCAACGAGATTCTCGACTTCCCATTCACAGTCACCCCAGCCAAGATATCCATTCTGGTCTTCTACCTCCGGATCTTCACCACTCGATCCTTCAAAATAATGGCCTACATAGTCGGCACCATCGTGCTCGGACACGGCCTCGGCATCCTATTTGCAGCCATCTTCCAGTGCTGGCCGATAGCATACGTCTGGGACAAAACCATCGAAGGAGGATCGTGCTTCAATCAACTGGCCTTCTACCGCTACGTGTCACCGCCGAACATATTAACAGACGTCCTCATCCTGATCATGCCATTGCCATATGTCTGGAAACTACACACGCGAAAGGGGCAGAAGCTGGCTTTAACAGGAGTATTCCTTCTCGGCAGTTTGTAAGTATATACTTTATACTTCACCACCCCAACATCACCAGAATGACTCACTAACCTCACAACCCTCCCCACCAGAGGAACCGTAGCCAGTATTCTACGAATGACAATCTTCTTCCAAGAAAACGCCACGACCGACCCAACCTGTACGTCCCTCCCCTGTTCCTAATCCATAAATAACCCTGTTAACCACCTATTAATACAATTCAGGGACATCCACCAACCTAGGAATCTGGACCATCCTAGAAGGCGGAATCATCATCATCGCCGCCTGTCTCCCACCCATTTGGCCATTGATCATGCGGATACTCCCTCAACAGCTACGCAGCAAGGGATCCTCGCAGACTCCGCAGCGCTACTACCAGCGCCGCTACCCAACTAACCAGGCCAATGGCAAGACTCCGGAGGGATTCTCTCGACTCGGAGATAACAGTCAATCGCGCGGATCGCATGTCCCGTCGCTGGGGAGTCAGACGATTGTGGCGCGTGAATCTGAGTATTATTCGGAGAATATCTCGTTGGAGGAGGCGGTGCATGGGTATAGGGTTGTGGAGAGGGAGGGGCCGTAGAGTCATAGATGTATAGATGTATCATTGTTTTGGGTGTTATGAGTTTAATGATGAAATCTGAACTGAATTATAGTTATATGGAAGTAAACACTGTAGAAACTCTCCACCTATTCTAGTAGCTGTATTAATGAGATTTTTATGAAAGATTATCATATATCTTAACTATATTAATAACTTCTGAATATTTTTAATCGCCTCTAGTTCTTCAGTCTTCAAAAAATGATATAAATATAATTAGTTCTTTACAGTTACTGGCACCGGGTAAAACCAATCTAATATATATAGAATCTATGGTCTGGTACTCGGTAGTTGAGTCTTTACTAGCTTTACAATTTCGAATTGTAGATTGAGTACGGGTGCCTCAGGTGATAAAATCCAAACATACAGATTAGAGAGATGAATAAGTAGTAGATAACCAAGTGGTTGGCGCATGAGTAAGCAGTAGGGTGGCTAACAGCCAGGCCAGATCAGGTTAGCAGCAAATTCTATATCTTCTATTTGGTTAATACTCAGGTCCAAGGAAACCTTCATATCGCAATATATCTCTAAAGCTAGAACAATAGTAGTCTACTATGATCTTACTTTTCTGAGTGCCGAGACATATTTACTATATTAATTCAGTCTTAGTGCAGTCAAAGTATACTTATGGAAAATCAATTAATTATCCTAGCCCACTCTAGTTACATTATGATGAAGCAGTACTCATGATCAGCTCACAGATTCAGCATCTATCTAGATATTAGCCGCGCTTCAAGTCACACTAAGAAATTAGTAGTTCGGATTGGGTGACCATCGGCGGATCCCTCCTCTCGTATTTAGTCTTTCTT